TTATTACTAAACTTTTGAGGGGGTCTCAGGAATTGAACTCATTGACACTCAACCACTGAGCCATATCCCCAGCCCTATTTTGTATTTTATTTAGATACAGGGTCTCGCTGAGTTGCTTAGCACCTTGCTCTTGCTGAGGTGACTTTGAACTCTGGATCCTCCTGCCTCAGTCTCCTGAGCCGCTGAAATTACAAGCGTGTGCCACCACACCCAGCAACATTATTACTATTTCATGATTAATTCCTCTCTTGGTTTCCTTTCCTCTTCCTAGAACCCTTAATAGGCACTTGTTTTTCCAGATTGTTTATGTCTCAACTTTTCTCTCAAACTTTTCATTTCCTCTGAGTTTTATATTATTTTCGTTTTCCAGCCCAGGAGGATATACTGGAAAGACCATCTTCAACCCTTCTAATGAACTTTCAAGTTTATTTTACATTTAGTAATTATGTTTAATTTAATGAACTGGTCTTTATTCAGGCAGCCTATCCCTAAGCCTATCCTGTTGCATCACACGGCTAAACCAGTCAGGGTCACTCCAAGTGAATTTGGGGAATAAATAAAGCCACAGACACAGAAAATACCTTTTTGGGGGGTTCAGTGACTGATCCTCAGCTGCAGCTCCCTCAAGGGGGGGGGCAAGGCAGGCAAGAAAAAGAGGAGCAAGTGCTGAACCCTTTTATTGAGGAGAAGCCATTCAAATGAAGCAAGGGGTCAGGTTTGGGGGGGGGGTTGGGTCTAGCTTCACGATGTCTGTCAGCAGGTTGACTGACCTCTAGGAAGGCCACGCCCATCTCATGGCAGAGCAAGTGAAAAGATGCTTACAGTTCAGTGCCCCTTGTGCGTTCAATGCTCACAGTTCACACACACACAGCCTAGGGCTGGCTTGCCATATCGCCACACTCTCATGGCTCAAGGCTAAGGGGCACTCGATCCCCAGGTGGCAGCTTCCAACACTACCCCATAGCGACTATTCTTCTTTTACAGATGTGATCTCTGCTTGAATCTCCAGGGATGCTCCTCGGAGGCTTTTCAGGTCACCAGGCTCCTTTCTTTCTAGCATCACTGACCCCTTTCTACTACTGGAAGACAGTTATCCCATTTGCTCAAACAACCTAATCTCATCCCTGTCTGTCAGGGTCCAGGTGGACAATTGTGATGCTTTCCGCTCCTTTTCCGACCTTCTTAAGGAGTAGCAGCTGGCTGGGGCATGGGGGGCAGATGTCATGGATCAGCAGACCACCTTTGCTCCAGAGCCTTGCTCTGCAAAGTCTGGCCTGTGGGCCCATGTCCTTTGGTGAACCCATCCGAGACAAGAACAGAAACTGAGACTAAGCATTTTGAAACTTTAATGGCACTTTTGACATTGCACAATAACCAAGCATGATCGGTTGGCTTGTATCGTCCGTCTCTTTTTTTTTTTTAAGTTCCATTTTATAGTAATTAATTTTTATTATATTTTACAGAAGAATCAGTCCGTGACAGATGAGACATTTTGTAAAAGGGAGGTTTGTCTTTCACTACAGCCAGCTGGGGAAGTGTTCCTTTAGGGAGCCCAGGCAGGGAGAGGTGAGGAAGGCTGCCCCTCTGCCGTATGTCACGTGCACAGGAGTCTCCCTGGTCTGCTGCCCCTATTCAGAGAGCACCCACCCTCTCTGAGATTTCCTTAGAAATGTTTCTCCGACTTTGGCCTCAGGGAGAGACTGGAGCCACACAGTGGGAAGTTGGAGGAGGGAAATGGGGACGCTCCTATCCTAGCAATTGCACCCACAGTTCCTCCACCCATCATCTGCATCTGCCCTTCCTGCCTCTCCTGCCTGAAGTGCACACCTGACCTGGGGGGCAGAGGTTCCATGGTGGAGAGCAACTCCCATGCTGGCTAGGGTCAGGCTCCTGTCCCCCTGCCTCCTGCCCTCCGGAAATGCATGGCAAGTCTCATCTCTGTCTCCCACCATTACCAACCCTCCCTGAACACTTCCTTATTGTCACTTCTCCAAAGAGAGTGTTTAATCATTGTCTTGAACCAGAAGTCCTCATTCAATGACTCTGGGGTCTTGGAGGAACCCCATTTTCTTGGGGTGAGAGGACTCCATGAGGTGATGTAATGTTCCATATCATATCCACCCCACCCCATAGAAATAAAATTTCTTAGTGGCAACACTAAAAGAAAAACAGATTAGATTCCTTTTAATAATTTATTTTATTTTACCCGACTTACCTAAAATATTGCTTCAGTGTGCAATCAGCATAAATTCTTTTTGCGGGGTAGGGAGTAATAGGGATTGAACTCAGGGGCACTTGGCCACTGAGCCACATCCCTAGCCTTATTTTATATTTTATTTAGAGGCAGGTCTCCCTGAGTTGCTTAGTGCCTTGCTCTTGCTGAGGCTGGCTTTGAACTCGAGATCCTTCTGACTCCGCCTCCTGAGCTGCTGGGATTACAGGCGTGTGCCACCAAACTTGGCAACATAAAATTGTTTAATTTTTTTTGCACTCCTTTTTACATATGAAGGCTTCAAACTCAGGTGTCTAATAGCACATCAATTCAGATGTTAATTTTCCTCAGAACACTTGGTCTGTATTTAGGTTCTGTCAAGTTCCTAAGTGGATGGACATAATGAAATTGTTTCTGATATACTTGAAAATTTTCCAACAGCATTGAGGACCAGTTTTTAGATTTAGATTAAGATGAATTAAAGTTAAATAGAATAAAAAATTCAGCTTCTATTCACACCAGCCACCACGATAAACATTCAGAAAACTTGGAAGAATTGTCAAGCACTGCACCAGGCGGTTCTATGTTTTCATAAAGGTTTGCATTACAAAGTATACACACTTATCAAAACTCATTTTATCAGATAGCTGAAATCTGGATGTAAATTTTGCCTTATGAAAACTCTCTAGTTAACGATATACATCATGGAGCATTTAGGGTGACTTACACTGATATCTGCAACTTATTTTGAAATGCATCCAAAAAAACGATTGATGGGTGGAAGGATCAAATAGGTATGTGAGAAAGCAAATACAGCAAAATGTTAATTTTAGAATCTGTGGTGGGGTAAATGGATATTCATGTTTAAAATTGTAAATGAGATTATGGGGGTCGTGTCTTAATGAACTATATCTGGCATCCAATCCCACTGATAAATCTCAGAAACATAATATTGAGTGAAAGACACCAGGATCAAAAGGCAAGCTGTGCAGACTTCCAGTTATATAAGTTCATGAACAGTCAGAGCTGATCTATGCAGCTGGAGGTCACAGTTACTCTGGTGGGGGAGTAACTGGAAAGGGACCCAAGGGGGATTCCTGGGGACACAGAAGTTTCGTGTTTTGATGGAACACAGTGTGGGTGTGAGTTACATGGTTGTGTTCACTCTGAAAATTTGTCAAACTGTACACAGAATGTGTGTACTTGGGCCAAATTCATCTCAATAAGAAGTTTTATAGTTTTTAAGTAACACCTACCTTTCCAGGTCTTGCTAGTGGGAAGCCAGAGCTCTCCTTTAAAGATAAATGTTTCACAACAAGCAAGTGGTCTACTTCTCTGATCCCCAGAGGGCAGTGAGATGTGTCGTTAAGCATCGAGGACTCAGAAGCTGGGGACCTAGTGTTTATTTCAGGAACTTTCTTTGTGGTTCTTGCTAACATTCTTGAGCAGGCTTTACAGAAAGCAGACTCAAGTCCTGCCCAGTCCCCAGCCAGGGCATTAGAACCTCGCCCATCCTCTACATGGCCCAGAATCTATGCTCTTCTAGTTACCTGCACCACACCCCAGTTTTCTTGATCTTCCTGAATAGCTGTTCATTTGTTGAATGTCTTTCCCTTGAGGACCTCAAAACTCTCCTAGAATCAAAAGAGGGAGAGAAAGAAGATGGAGGTAAATTGAGGCAGAGGAGAAGAGCCAGAGAAATGGGTTTAGTGGTTGCTCATAGGCAGAGGGCAAGAACCCAAGACACTTGGAGGTGCCTGATCCAGCCTGATGTTTAATACAGTTTTTTATTTTTGCAGTGCTGGGGATTGGATCCCCGGTCTTGGGCACGCTGGGTAAGTGCTTTATCACTGAGTCTACCCCAGCCCTCATCCAGGTATTTGAGTCCACAATCAGGTAATCTTAGGATGGCTCACCTAGAATCTGAGAAAGCAAAGCACAGTCAGAGGCTCCTTTGATAAACTTTGGGGTCAAGTACTAAGACACCTGGGAGAGAGACTGACTTGGGAGGGAGAGGCCTGAGAAAGTTTGCTGAGTTCTAGGAATTTATTTCCTTGTTCTTCCTTTGTTTTCCTTTCCACCTATTTGTGTGTGTGTGTGTGTTTTAATTCCGTCTATCCTACCTCAAAATCGCGACAGTCACAGATCCCCACTTCCCTGACAATCACTGTTCAACAGAATTTTAAGGCACAAGCCCGGCCAAGTGTGGGGGTCAAGGGTGTTGCCATGAAGTGTCCAGGAGGGATGTGAGAGGTCCTCCAGAGAGGTGCTGACCCGCAGGCATGCCCCAGGAAGCTTCCAGAACGAGGGCTGGAGAGAGGAAAGGGACTTGGAGAGCAGGATTCCTTGCTTCCCATTCCTTTGTACCCCCTCCCTGCAAAGTCTGGGATTCCTCAGGATCTGATTTCTCCCAGAGGACCCCTGCCTGGGATGGCCTATCAGGGCCTAGAGAAACTTAGAAAGGGGGGCCCCTCCCAAGGCCACACCTGGATCCGTGGGTTTTCTGGGCTGGTGGGGCCTGATAGCCCAGGCTGGGCCCTTGGCTCCAGCTGAGGCAGGTGCCCTGGCCCCATGGGTACCCCTAGGTCTCCCCACTCTGACCCTCATAAGTCTGTCCCTGCAGTGCCCCACCCCAGAGCCGCCCCACCCCCTCCCCGCCCTCCCTCCAAAGTCCTGGACCAGAGTCCGCCCCTCCCCCTCTTCCTTATCTCTTTTTCTAACCTTTTGCATTTTTTTAGTCTCATTTCCTGTCGGGTTTTGCATTTCCCTCCCCCGCCCCTCCCAGCCTATGACACACTTTCTCTCCTTTCTGCTCCCATCGCCTCTTCGGGTCTCCGGACTCCAGCCCCGGCCGCGCCAGCCCCTGCGGCCGGGCAGCCGGACAGTGGGCGCGGGGCGCGGGAGGCAGCCGGCGGCCTGCGCGGAGGAGGCGTCCGCGCCCGCGGAGCATGAGCGCCCAGGTAGGCGAAGGGGAGGACGCGGGAGGGGACGCGGCGGGGGCACACAGGCTTTGGCTGCGGGGACCGGAGGGGCCCACCCTTTCCTCGCCCACCTTCTCCTCCCTCTCCCCTCCCCGCCGCTGCTTCCTCCTGTTACGTCTCCGGGTCTCCTCCAGGTCCCTGACAGCCTCGGGGGTCCCCCCGGCCAGGTTCCCGCGCTCCTTAGAGAGGACGGGGATGAATGGGGGGCCGGAGGCAGCGGCCGGCGAGCGCCCCCGTGCACCTGCCCCGGAGGCGGGAGTAGAACCTGCGCAGGCACCTGAAGGGCCGGAAGTTTCCAGACAGTTTCCAAACAGCCCAGCCTGACTCAGAGGCTCCCGAGAAGGTGGGGCCCACGCGGCTCAGGCTGGGACGGGGACCTCCAAAGCCGCTCAGAGGGGGCCGAGGACCGCCCCCCTCCCACGGAGGGCGAATGAGGAGCGGGGGATGGTCGGCGTGCAGGAGAGGGCCCTGGTGGCCCCAGCCTGAAGTCACCTCCCAGATGCTCCCGTGGGCGCTCTGCGGCGCCCTCTCTGCTGAGAGACAGGAAGGGCTTTTCTGGCCCTTAGGGGTACCGAGCACAGTTGCAGGGGGTCCCCTGGACACAGAGTTATACTGTGGGCTGCAGGCTTCAGCTGGGTCAGGACGTCACCTGAGCTGCCGCCTTTCTGTCACTCCTCGCAGTCTCAGCCGATGGCCGCCTGCACCAACTGGGTCTTGGACAAAACTGACCTCTGTGCGCTCTGCCTGGTCTCCAACCCTTTGATTAGTAGTTTTAAAAAATTTCTCCTGACACTTACCGCTTCTCTTGAAGGTATAAAGTTACCAATCTACCAGAAAGGGAGGAAAAAGTTGGTCTGTCATTCAACCTTTATTTAGTGCCTAACCGTGCATAATGTGTGCCGGAAATCCCGGGAGCTGGAAATTAATGCGAGGACAGGAATTCAGCTCCCCTTCTCCACTGCTGTGCTTTGCGGGAACTCCGGCTGCCTCCACCCCTAAGGCATCTGTACAGTGCAGATAGTTCCACCTGGGCCAGCCATGCTCCGAGGGCAAAGGCAGCCGGCCTTGTCCTTGTCACATCTCAGCGAAATGGTTTGCACCTGAATAGATTTTATTAGGCAGGAATCAGAAAGGCAGGCTGGTACCTTACCCCCTCGGAGTAGTCTCCGGTCTGCACATGAGTGATCCTTGAAGTGATTTAAGAAAAAAAAAAAAAGTGGCAAAATATACATAGCATAAAAATAACAATTTCAACCACTTTTATGTGGATGGTCCAGTGGCCTTAAGTACATTCGCACTGTTGTGCAGTCATGGATGCTATCTGCTTCCAGAACTTTTCCATCTTCCTAAATAGCAACTCTGTCCCCTTTAAACAATAGCTCCTCTTTCCCCTCACCCCCAGGCCCTAGCATTGCACTTTCTGTGGATCTGACTGCTCTGGGAACCTCATTGAGGTGGCATCAGTGTTTGACCTTTTGTATCTGGTTACTTCCCTGATCATCCTGTCCTGAAGGTGTATCAATCCACGTTGCTGCCTGTCTCCTTACTTGGCCTGAGTAGTGCTCCAATGCACGGAGACACCACATTTTATTTATTCTTGGCACCAGGGATTACCCAGAGGTGCTTAAACCACTGAGCCACATCCCCAGCCAAGTAGCTGAGGCTGGCTTTGAACTCACCATTCTCCTGCTTCAGCCTCCCTAGCCACTGGGATTATAGGCTTGTGCCACCATGCCTGGCTTCACCCACCCTTTATGTGATAACCTCTAGATTTAACTCTCATGAAGGCAACAATGTATGTTTGAACCAATCAATGCTCACTACATAGGTAGCCTTGTGTGGGAAGCACAGGGTCCTCGTCTAAGGAGGTTCTGTTGCACAGGTTGGGTGCACTGATGGCAGTGCAGCTGCGGACACTAGATGGGAAAGAATTCAGAGGAGAGAGGCTGGCAGAGGGCGTGTGGGAGATGGCAGGGCTTGGAAGGCCATCATAGGAAAAGGCTCCAGGCTGTTGTGCAAGAAGGAAGGCCTCGACTTCTTTCTGCACCTTCAAATGTGGTGCTCCCCCACCCTTCCCATTAGAGACTTCTTCCTAGGCCTGAAGGGATGTGTGTCTGCAGGGTAGGGGTAGTGGAGATGAAGAGTCTCCTGTGATATTAGGTCTTTATAGTACAGTGTACATGTGAGACCTCATCAAGTCCTGATTTTCTGATGACGATAATGAAAGGGCTCATCAAATGCTGAACAATGAAGCCCCCTTCCAATCTGTGTCAAAAACTGTCATCTGTTCTCTCTGTTTTGAAGACAGCGTGTCTGGTCAACAGGACGGGGGTTAAGCCCCAGATGGCCACCCTAACTCAGCAGGGGTGGGTTGTGGTGGTTTTGCAAAGCCAGATTTGAGAAACGGAGAGATGCGTATATTCATGGCAGAGGGAAGAAGTGATAGGGGTCAGCTTGCCTCCTTTCAGGTCTGGGAGCTGTCCTAGCTGTGTGGCCTTGGACAGACTTGTCATTCCTTGTGCTCTCTGACATCATTTCTCTAATGGAATTGGGATTTTAATACTAGTTGTTTTCAGCCTTGCCCAAGGCATTAGGCATAAAATGAGGAAAATACAAAATATTACTGCTTTGGCAATTGCTACTGAGATCAGAGGTTGGATTCCAGAGGCCAGAGCTGGGGATACAGTGCCTGTTCCCCACCCCGGACAGACCAACTGGAGGGCCTCCTTGCTTAGTATGGCTCGGCCTCAGTTTCACAGTCTTACAGTAGAATTTTGAGAATTGAAGAAAATCAGAGCAGATGTTCTATCCTGTGAATATCCTCTTCTTGCTGCTGTGGCTACACTACCCAACTGTTCTAGAATATATTTGGTTTAATTGAAATATGAGAACAGAAAGAAAAGGGAAAGACAGCTTTTGAGAAAACCCCTTAAAAATACTTTTCTGATAAAATAAAATTTCATTTTTTTTTCTTATTCTTTTTGCCATGCTGGGATCAAACCCAGGGCTTCACATGGGCTAGGTACGTGCTCTACCGTGGAGCTACCTGTCCCTAAAGAAAAATTACAAAGAGCAGATTCCTGGATGCCAGCCTCTTCATCCAGGCAGAACCACATGGGAAAGACATGGCTGGTACATGCTACATGTAAAGAACATGCCCTCCGGCTGCCCCTCACTCTCCTTGAGGGACCTGCTCTCTGGGTCAGTGGTTTTATTGGGGAGTAATCTCTGGTGCTGTGATTGGTTCAAGGGCTCAAAGATTATAATGGTCACTGTCAGATTTGTGTGATGGGTATCCGTGGCCCAGTGCCAGGGGGTAATAAAAGCCTTCCTCTTGCTTGGCATCTGCTCCCTCTTCCCGCCTCCAGTGCCCATAAGCACATCTGTTCAACCTCTGGACCCTGCAACCACTATTCAGTGGGCAATGCTCCTCACAGGCCTGAGAGCCAGAAAAGTGTGTCCAGTCCCCCAGGAGGACTCCAGCCTTCCCCGTTTGTTTCTGTGTGCAGCATGTCATCCTCCTGACCCCTCTGTCTCAGGGAGGTGTGGCCTTTACTCATAAGTTTGACAGGGACAGAGTGGGGACTCCCCCGTGTTCTATCCCTCGGAACTTCACGTGCCCTGAGGGTATCAAAGGCAGCGCCTGCCACTCCTGATGTGGCCCTCATGCCTAAGAGGTAAGATACTATTCTGGAAAGATCTATGTACTTGGAACCAGGCAATCACCCATGACCGTGTGGCCTCAGCAAAGTCACATGTATAAAATGGGTATAAAAATACCTTGCCTAAATTAACACCAACCATTTTTCTAAATGTACCGCATGTGTCATGGCGCCCCGGGAGCTTCTGCTTTTCAGTTGTGCTTCTGACTTGGTTATTTTGAGACTAGGAGGTGGAACAGGGTGATGAGTTAAAAGCAAAACTGAATACACAGAACCAAGAGCTATTTCCCTAATTTATTACGAACACTTGTCAATCACATAGATACCAGAATCAGCAAACTTTTTCCTGAAAGGCCCAAATAGTAAATATTTTAGGCCTCATGAGCCAGATGGTCTCTGTTGAAGCAGCTCAACTCTGCAAGCCACAGATGGAGAGAGTGTGAAGAGTGTGGCCATCGCTGGTCCAACACAGTGCAGGCGGTGCAGGAATGGACCCTCCATGATAGTTGATCAACCCCAGAACTAGAGAATTCAGGGCAGTGGGAAAATGGCTGAGGATGCAAATGAGTATAATATGAACAAGTCAACATGCTTCTGTTATGCTTAAATCAATGTGAAGTGATAAAAGAGGGACATTACATTTTTTGAACTTTTAGGCTGGCAACACTCATCAAATTTGAAACCTGGTGTTGGCAAGGGAAGGACAGGCAAGCATTCTTACATATGGACAATCTGATGATGTTTACCAGCATTGTAAATGAATAAACCCTCTGGCATGGGAACTCTGCTTCTAAGAGACTGTATTACGGACATACAAGCATGCAAAGATTTGTACATGCAGATGTTCGTGCAAGTGTTGTTTATTTACAGACAAAAGCTTGAAAGGGCAGAAATGCTCCTCCAGAGCAAGGTCCATCTGCACAGTGGGATTCTATGAGGTCGTTAATGAGGATGAGGCGGGTCTGCGGGGATGCAGACATTACAAGTGTGTTTCTTCTCAATGAGTTTCTGGAAGAAAACAGTAGCACTTATAAGAGTGTTTATGCCAGGGACCTCTAGGGGAGGGAGCTCAGTGGCTGGGAAGGGAAATTTTTAAAACTTATTTTGTATCTTTGTCTCTTGTTTGCATTTTTTGTTAACCATGAGTCTTAGCTTTCCAGAATCCCAGCCTCATGCAAAAGGTGGTTTCCTCTTACAGTGGACTCTCATTTCTGCTTTGTCCTAATAAGAGGGCCATGCTAGGAATCACAGGCCTCAGTGTTCCTGCTAAAAGGCAAAACTGGGGGACCCCTCAGTGAGAAATCTGGGTTTTTTAAA